TATATATATACAATGTAATTATATATACATTATAGTTACATGTTTGTGTTGCAAAAAGGATGAACATCTACCAAAGGATTTAAGATTCAGAAAATGTCATCACTGAGGTGATGAATTATATCGAGGCATAATTCAATAACGTCTGTTATTTCTGTCATTTTTTCCGCGACTACTTATATACAAAAAAAAAAAGAGAAAAAACAAGTTACAATCCTAATCTTCCGGGAGTGTTGCGGTACGGAGCGGGAGTACCTGGTTCTCTGATGCCAGGCGTTAATATTTCCTTCTTTCGGACCGACGCCTGTTCACGCTCGAGCTGCTCTTGAGCGCGCGCCTTCATCTCTTCTTCGGCTTCTTTCATCTGATGCTCCATCTCGTGGAGATGCAGCATCGCTTGCCGCCGCTTCGCACGTCCGCTTCGACCGGTTTCCTTCACACTGAAGAACATGGGGCCCAACTCGGCCAGCCAATGACCGTCCACCGCGGTAACACACTGCATGTACTCTTTAGCGGTCATCACGAGTTCGTGGTAGACGACGTAGTCGGGTGTGAAGCCCATGCCGAACAGCGCGGAAGTGGGATGAAGATGGCACGGCATTCCCGTACGACAGTTGACGTATTCGCCGATGCCCTTCAAGCGTGCCGCTTGGTGAAAATAAGCGGAACAGATGCACTTGCGCACGATGTCCCAGTCGGTGCCGCAACTAACAACGTCCATCTTCTGTTGCTTCAGAATCTCCTCGAGTTGCGACCGTACCTCCCGCACCTTGCGCATTGCCTTCGCGTGTATGAAGTGATCATTGCACCAGGAAGTTGAGTAGCCGTTCGCCTTCCACTGGTTGTACACGTTCAGATACGTCAGATGATCCGATTCCGGTACCTGGAATTTCTCACGCGCTGAATCGGAATCTTCCTCGCGTCCTTTCGGTCTGTAGAAGATTGACGGAACCGACAGCATGGAGACGATGATGAGGATTTCCGCGGTGCAGCCGAGCTGAGAGGCGACTATGAGCATTTGACATTGCGGCGGGTCCAAAGGAAACTCGGCCATTTGTCGACCGAGAGGGGTCAAGCGTCCGGTATGATCGAGGGCGCCCAATATCCATAATTGGTACAGCGAGTTCAGTATATTATCTTGCGGCGGTGGGTCCATAAAATGAAACGCCAATAAATCTTGAACTCCAAGCGACTTCAGCAGCAGCACCGTATTAGCCAAATTTGTTCGTTGTATCTCGGGAACTCCCGTCGACAATAACTCGTCCAAGTATTGTCTTCGCGTGTACAATCTGTAGCACTGACCGGGACCAGTACGACCAGCTCTGCCCTGCCTCTGATCAGCATTGGCCCTCGACACCGGATACACTTGCAGAGCGTCCATACCTATTCGAGGATTGTACACCTTCAACTTGCAGTAGCCCGAGTCAACGACAAAGACTATACCGTCGACTGTCAACGACGTTTCCGCTATATTAGTCGCCACGACACATTTGCGAAAACCTCCCTCGGACCGTTGGAAGATCTTCGCCTGCAAGTCCGACGGCAATTGCGAATAGATAGGCAGTATGGAAAGAGGCGGGGCTGATTCGATTTCGGCTAAACGTTCCTTCAGAACTTCGCAAGTGACTTCGATGTCCTCTTGACCAGGCATGAAGACGAGCACGTCGCCACTTTTAGGCTGCAAGTGAATCTGCAAGACTTGCTTCACAGCTGCGTCTACGTAATCTTCTACCGAGTTCTTCGCATGCAGCACTTCGACGGGAAACGTGCGTCCCGGTATTTGAAATGTTGCCGCGTTGCCGAAGAAAGCGGAGAACTTGCTGCAGTCCATTGTTGCGGAAGTTACGATTAGCTTCAAATCATGTCGTCGAGCGACAACCTGTAAATAATGTTACATTAATAGGATTGTCCGATCTGGAAATGTTAAGAGAAATATAAAATCAAAATGTGCACTGCACCTCTCTAAGAAGACCGAATAACACATCAGTGGAAAGTGACCGTTCGTGAGCTTCGTCCATTATAATTACGCTGTAACGTTCCAAATCTCCTTCTCTCAAACTTTCTCTCAGTAAAATACCGTCGGTCATGTACTTGATGACCGTCTGCAAAAGCAAAATCAATGTTACATGTATTGTCGAAGCAAATCTTATATTTTACAATAAATATTAATGTCCACTCACGTCCTTCGAAGTGCAGTCTTCAAAACGTATCGCATATCCGACCTTGTCGCCCAGAGCAGTGGCCATTTCGTCGGACACTCTTTTTGCAACAGACATGGCAGCAACTCTTCTAGGCTGAGTACAGCCAATTATACCGTAACGGCTGTAGCCATCTTCATGGAGGTATTGCGTTAATTGCGTCGTTTTACCGCTACCAGTTTCGCCTACTATTATCACAACGCTATTCTCCCTGATGACGTTTAATAGCTCTTGACGTACGGCGAATACAGGAAGACTTCTCCTTTGATGCTGGATGGATCTGTGTTTAGCCTCCCCCGTCACTTCTCCAGCTCCTATATGCTGAGCATACTTTTGTCCGGCTTTGAAATCTGTTTCTTGTCCCGCACGCTCCTTGTCATCTTTACGCTGATCATGCACACCCATAATGTTACCGATATGCGTCCCGGCCAGTTCCCAATGCTTCTTCTGCGCTTTACGTCTCTCCTTTTGCTCGCGATACGCTTTGACCAGCGCTGAACCTTTCCTTGCCACCAGTGCCATGTCGGAAGTGGGATCACGTACTGGTATGACCGGTTCTGGCTGCTTCGTGAACACGATGCGCCCGTCCAGAAACGGCGGAACCACATTGTGAACGAGCAAGTGGACTCTCGTCTCTCCCTCGTCGTCAAAGTCATCATCGTGATCTAGTGAGCTCACCACTCCCGATGTCAACATACGGTTACGCTCCCACAGTTCATTGTCCTTATTTATTTGTCGTTGCTGCGCGGAAAGACGTTTCTGCCTCCTGGCCTCTAATTCCATCTCCTTCTTTCGAGTATACTCCTCGGACACGTTAGCGAAAGCGTTGTTCTCTCCGTCATCTAATGCGTACCATTCTCTGTCTAGCCTTTGCTGTTCCTCTTCCCACATTTCCTTCTCTTCACCATCCACCATTGGAGTGGCACCGGAATTCTTAAAATCCTTATTCCATGAATTATACTTGTAAGAAGGAGTAAATTCGCTTCTGATACTGTCACGGCCATCTCTGTTGCCATAAATGTTCGGCGTTGGATGATCCCAGCTTGATCTTCTTGGTTCCTCATCTTCATCATCGTCCCAATTGCTCCTAGAAGTAGGATCTTTTGTCCGGAATTTGGGCGTCTGAGGTTCATCCCTGAATCTCAGAGGCGTTTGCCTTACACTACTATCTCTGCCTCGGCTTTCCCTATCTCTTCTTCTATCTCTGTCTCTATCTCTATCTCTGTCTCTGTCTCTGTCTCTGTCACGACCTCTGTATGAATTTCTAGCATTTCTGTCATCTGCATTTAATCTTTGACGCTTAAGTCGCGACTCAAGTCTCTGTTGTGCTTCAGAATTAACACCACCAGTATGAGTGGGAGTTTCTTCTTCATAAGATCGATATTTTCTGTCTTTTCCCTCAGATTTGTCAGACTTTGACTTAAGAGGCTCCAGTGATTGTTCTTTTCTTTTTCTTTCTGCAAGCTTGTCGAGGCCTAATATAGATGGTTTCTTAAAAGTATGATCCGAAGGTTTCTTTCGAATGACTAGACCTCCTGTTTGATTTCCATCAGTCCCTTCTAATCTGTACAAGTTTGTGTCATGTGACATTTTCTTTTTTAATATATTTTATTCAATTTTAGTGGAATGTTGTTATATCCTAAAACAAAATAAACGCTGCGTTGAATATTACAATAAGTAGCATAAATTATATATATTTTTATTATAAAAATATGTATCCTAATTAATAGCGATTAGGTATTATATTTGCACATTCTAAAAGTACAAGAATAGTTATTTAGAAATCGCAAACAATCAATATCTCGAGAAAAAATAGCAAAATAGGTATAAACACTCCTGTTTCCTTCGAAATGCTCAATAACATCTCTATGCAATGGAACTTTAACGGATAATATTGTGCAGTTGGAATTAATTTTATCGTTCCGGTAATTATCTGTTAATAATCCAATGAATTTGATGAATTTTGTACCTTAATTAGTAGCGATTAGGTATTATATTGTACCAGAAAAATTAGGAGTTAGGTTAGGTAAAGTTGAATATGATAAAAACTATATTTAAAATTTTATTTCTAATACTTAATTACTAAAAATAAAAGAACCGTAAAACTCATACTAACCTATGTACTCTCTTGCACACTTATATTTATACAAATATAATGAAAATACCACATACGCACATCAAAAAAACTTGGGAAATCAAGTAAGTGACATTGTAAATGACAACTAGAACAGATGCCCACAACATAACCCAAATGGCGGAAAATGACGAATGGCCATAGACATTTAAGTTATAATTAGAGTGCTAACTCTATCACAGTATAATCAGTATGTTCATTTAATAGACGGGGGATAAGAGGTTTGCTTTACGCCATTGATAGCGGTGAACCAAATTGAACCAATCAGAATAATGCCAGCGAGCCACGTGATCAGATATGACGAACATACCGGCTATACTGTGCATTTACCACACGCACTTCATAGCAATATTATTCTATGGCAATAAACCCAGACGCCTCTGCTGCAAACTCACTGAACTATAAGCATCTGAATTTCCCGCCTAATTATATTCTCTCATTTTCTAATGCGCAAACTCCATAAGTTATATACGACTGTACGGTGGGGAGCGTTGTTTCCATTGGATTTGCTTCTCTGACAAAAGATTCAACCGGATTTAACGAACATACGTCAGCATTGTATATTATGTATGTTTATTCATAAATTTGTTATATTAAATTTTATTAATCTAGCCTGTTGCTTCTATAAATCGGTTTTTGCGAATGTAACGAATAATTTGTTTTTGTAGGTTTGACAAGTTAAACAATGACATTACTGATCCCTGTTACATCTATTCAAAATGGCCGGAGATTCTTGATCTAACTTTTTGAAAGGTATGTTAAGATTTTCTTTATTTTCATCGCATAATTTTTTATTCATTGTACCATTATCCTTCATTGAATCTGTATTCAGCTTGTTATTTGTATTATAATTTATCCAGCAATGTTCAAAATTCGCAAAAATCTCTCTCCAGATACACAGCTCTTCCACTAAAAAAATACAATAAAATTATAAATTATTCGACTTAGTCGTTCATTACAAGTTTGACTTAATAATGCAATTAATACAAATTTAGCAATATACTGGCACTTTGTGCTACTGTGATATTTCAGCATTATATTTGCATGGATATATATAGAGCAAGATGCTTCATTTGCAAATGCAGAATTTGTAGTGTCAGATGTAATTTTTTATAAAATATTTCTTAATATTATAAATTATCATATCATATATTGAAATTGAATAATTTCTTATCATTATTTAAAAATAAAATTTTCTAACTGCATATTTTTCAATAAACTTAATTACCATAAAAAATTAGTGTTAGAAATGTGAATAATCCTGCAGGTACGCTTCCATTGGGTAATATGACACATGCTAATTTGAAAAGAGTTGGTCCTTCATAAAAAACTATTCCTTGAATAGTATTCACAAGCCATGGCAAATAAAGATATGGAATTTTGTGTATATCACCAATTGTCAACATCATTGTTGATACCAATGCAGTAAGTATATCTGCCACCATTATTTTAATCCGCAAATCTATGTTAAATGCAAAATTTTGCTTTCTATATTGTTTATTATGTTTTTGTTAATTAAATTGTAAAGAAGTTTAATTACTGTAATTTCGGCGAAATAGGTTATTAAAGACAGCAGCTCTTGTTGGCGAAATATAACGGTATGAGTTGTACAAACCAGTTTCTAAAGTGATTGAACTTAAAAAATTAGTTGCAAAACATATTATGCCCAAGTATAATGTATTGATCTGAAACAAATATAAGAATAAGTATGAGAATAGAAAGTATAAGAATAAGATTGAAGATACAAGAATAAGAAAATAGATACAGCAATTAATTAATTAATTACATTAAAGTTTCAAAATTTCATAAATTAATTTTTGTCTTTTGTATCAAATTGATATCAATAATATCAAATTGAAATTCTAGCAAAGAAGTAATTTTGTTTTCTAGAATATACAAATTTGGGAAAAAGTAATAATTCAAGTTTGATTTGAGAAGCCTAATGTACTTGCTTAATTAAATTAATGGAAAATTAAATATATTACCTTGGAATTTCTTATGTTAAAATCACTATCTTTCATTTTTATATCTGAATTTGCTTCTGAGTTAAGAATCATGATTAGTTTGAATTTGCTATTCAAATTTTCAAGAAATATCTCAGTTATTACTTTATTGACTATTTAACGTTAATTGTTTGATTGGTTATAAGTTATACAAGTGTCATCCATAATTTATCTAAATGGCATGAATAGAAGACAGCACAAACAATAATTATTCACAACTTCAGACGTGTAACTGTTATTTTCAAGAATATCCGACTGTGATTGGTCAATTTGTTTATTACCTAAGCCTTATTGCTTATGTGCCATGACCCTGAATTAATTTCTTTATATTATCTAAGATTTACAAGATAAACATAATTGCTTTTAGATAATTTCAATATTGTTTTTAGTAAATTTTGAAACAAATTTTATAAAATAATTTTCATCGTCTGCAAGAGAAATTATTTTGAAAAATGTCGGATGTTTAGCAGTACAGTGTTCATGCGAATATTAAAATGTAAGTTTCAAATTATTAAAAAATCGCATATTGATGATTGCTGTCATATAATATACAGTTGATGTGAAAGATACTGTGTTCTAAGATCGCGATTAATCGGTAAAAAGAACAATTGCAAAATCATTTTAAATAATTTCTATTATCTATAGCTATAAATACAACCAGATTTAAAATCTTTGTAATGTCAGTATCGTGTGCGGTCCGCAGATCCGCTCATTGTTTGTCTAATGCATATTGACTATTAACAGCAGATCCGTTGCCTTATAGGTCAAAAACTGCGGTACGTCACATCCTTATTCGCCAACGCCTCATCGCTCCTGATCATCTTCGGCCACCATCCATATTTGGCAGTCTCACCCATAGGTAATGCCAGTCGCATTTATAAAAGCATCCACCTGTTTGGTGAGTAAAACGCATTCGATACCTAGACATTAAGAGAAGCGACAGCTCGTCGAATTTCAGCGCATGAAATCGCGGTAGCGCTGAGCTTATTTGTGCCGTGAAACTCTAATGAAATTATTATTCATCATGGCTACTTGAATCTGCATTTGGAAGAACGAATTTTGAACATAAAATTGCTATACCAATGATTAGCATTAAAGAAATAAGAGACGTAATTTACGATTGTTTGTTTTATGAAGCAGCAAAATAATTCATATTTATTTGTTTTTATTTCTTTTAATACTGCTTTAATGCAGTAAGATACAAAGTACAAAACATATAAAGAAATGTAGAAAAATACAGAAAATATGACCAAGACTTTTTTTCCTAAAATTTTATTTTGAATATTTTTCCTAAATAATGAAGATACATCAAACTTATAACAAATATAATATTTTTTGAAATTATTTTATATTTATTTTTTAATTTATTTTGATCGTAATATTAGAATCATAATATTAAAATTCTTTTTAAGATTATAATATCAAAATTTTTTTATTGAAGTAAGATTTGCAGAACAAAATGCACTGTTATTTGTTAAAGTGAAAAGTTTGTGGGAAATCCATTAATCATATCATGTTTTCATTGGTATACCGATTTTATTGATTAATAGATATTCTGCCTGCAATCTAATTTAAAGATAAAATATATGAGAAGACTTAACGGGGACCAGGCACGTTCGGAAAACGCTTTGGGCGTGCCGGAGATAACAATCGATCTTTAAATTCTTCGCGAAAACTGTCCTCAATATCGGCGGCGCGCAGATTCCCGTCTTGACATCCCGGTCGGCCGTTTCGGCATCACGCACTCTGAGCGGAGACGATGCGTACACGCACAACTACGACACGCGAGGACGTGTACGGGGACACGACGAGTACGTGTCCTGCGAGTGAGAGGTGATCGAGGGATAGATGCAGAGCCGTGCGTTCTCTGCTTCCGCATGGACGGACAATCGCCTTTTGACGTGTGCAACGACATGACTAGCTACGCTCGCGCCCTAAACACGATCTCCCCTTTTCGTCTTCAAATTTTCACGAAAGTGGCATTCGCGAAAACAGCTTGAAAACAGCAACGCTTTACCTAACGAAATGATATAAAAGTGAAAAGTAAGATACTATTAATTCTTTAATAGTTTTTTTATCATCATCATTTGTTTTCTCATGTTTATTATTTTATATTATTATTCATTTATATGCACAGTGAACTTGTGATAAAAGATGACGTTGAAAATTTTTTTTGCATTTACTCAACGTAGTTACAGCACTGCTGATGCGTTTGCGTGTATGTGCCATCCATCGAAGAAAGCTTCTCTGCGCTTGAGTAACGCTACGGGACTCTCGTGAGTCTCTCTTCTCGGCTCTGGATGACCGCGGTCGATCGCCGCTCGCATGAGCATTCGGATCACGCTGCCGGAGCGAGCACGTAACAATTTCTGTTCTTGGGACTGGAGCCACCGAATCGTCGATCCTTTCGTTCCTCACTTCGACTTCGCGACGCGCATTCATGTCGAAACGCGATTTGGTCCTCTCGACTTTTAAGCTTAGCACATATAAATTTAGTCGAGAACATAAATGTCACATAAATGTTTAATAAAAAGTTTGAATTGTTTAAAGTTCTAAAAAATTCATAGCAGCTAATTTACAGCTTGAGTAACGTTTATGCGTCACGTCTATGCTCTTTAATATATTTTATTACACTTGTGCTGTGGAAAAAGTAGTAAAAATATAATGAGTTCTTAAACGTTAGTATTTAGAGTTTTTGTGGAATTATAAACACTTGTTACTTTGTGTACATTGGATTCTTCTGATCCGTTTGTATATCTTTGTTATTGATTTATCAAGTTTAGGATCGGTTAACATAGTTGTTAAAAAGCACAAGATTACGTGACAGAATCAATTCTCGCGAATTGAATTAATATACAATATTTATTTTCGCGTGCTAATAGTCGAAATCTTTGTGCGGCAACTTTGTCGAGATGTCGTTCGTTTAAAGCCGAAGTCAGTTTTACGGGGCTAACGTGTCTCAGATTTCGATCGATGATGACGACATTTCGACATTCGGACTGCCGGTGTAAGATTTAAGTCTCGATTCATCGGGGGGGCCGATTGATAGGCGCATCAGGCACACGCTGAATTCTTATGCTAATGCGAGAAAGGAGCCGAGAAGACAATACATCC